TCTATTTCTAGTTGGCTAAGAATTTTTAAAAAAATTTTTTTTTTATCATATATGTGTGTTGAATTTTGTGAAGTGCTTTTTCTGCTTCTATTAAGATGATTATGCGATTTTCCTTTTGTTCTGTGAGCGTACTACATCACTTCTATTGATTTTCAAAGGTTCAATCAACTTTGCATTCTTGGAATAAACTCAGTTTGGTTCTGATGTATTTTCTTTCTCATATTCAATTTGCTAAAACTTCTTTATTTCTTTTTTGGCATTCCATACCTAGGTCCTGAAAGATGCAACACTCCACCACTGAGCTATGTCCCCAGACCAGCGTTAATTCTTCTTAGAACTTTCATCTGTTTGTGAGACACTCTGGCCTGCATTGTAACCTGCTGAGGAGGACTTAATGTCAGAGTTTGGTTGGTCTGATAAAGCCAATTCAGAAGCTTGCTCTCTCTCTCTCTCTTTTTTTCTTTCTATTCCCAGATATTGCATAAGATTGATATGGTTTCTTCCTTAAATAGCTTAAATATGTGGAAGACTTCACTGATGAAGCCATCTGTGTCTGGGTTTTAGTTGCCGGAAGGATTTTACTATAGATTCACTTATTCTGACAGATAGAGGACACTTTGGATTTTTTAATTAATTTCAGAATGGGTTTTGGTAGGCTTTCTTTTTCTAGATATTTGTCTAATTAAGCTAAATTATTAAGTTAATTGGCAAAAATTATTCATGATATTCTTTGATTATATTTTCAATGTTTTAGAATTCAGAGTAGTACTTACTTTTTATTCTTGGTATTAGTTATTTGAATATCTCTCCCCCCCTTCTTTACCAGCTTATCAAAAAGATTATAATTTTTTTTTTAGTCTTTTCAAAGAACCAACTTTTAGGCCTTTGTATTGTATATCTCTTTTCCTTTATTCATTTCTGCTCTTATCTTGATTATTTCCTTTGTTCTACTTTCTTTAGTTTTGCTTTGCTTTTTCTCCCAAACATTTGGAGATATTTTTGTCACTGATCTCTAGCTTAATATCACAGTGGTCAGAAAACATACTTGGTATAATTTCATTCCTTTGAAATTTTTCAGTTTTGCCCTGTAACTGAACATTTGGACAACTTAAATATAAGTGTGCCAGGGGTGTTTGAGGGGTACCTGTGTTTTACAGTTGTTGGCTGCAGTATATACATTAAGTAGGTCAAATTATATTCATTTATGTCTATTTATATTTATAAATTAAGTCAATTTGTTTTTCATCGTGGTCTTCAATCTTTTGAATCCTTTTTTACTCCTTGGTTTTCTTTTCAGGGTACTGAAGATTAAACCCAGGGATGCTCTACCACTGAACTACATCCTCAGCCCTTGTAATTTATATTTTAAGACAAGATCTCTCTAAGTTGCTGAGGCTGCCCTCATACTTGCAATCCTCCTGCCTCAGCCTCCAGAGTTGCTGGTATTATAGGGTTGTGCCATCTTTCCTGGCTTTTATATCCATATCAATCTTTTTGTTCACTTATTATATCAATAACTAAGAGAGATGTGTTAAAATCTCTCACTGTGTGATTTTTTTTTCTGCTTCCATATTTAGGTGTGTCATTTTCTCCATTATGTATTTTAAAAGTTTGCTTTTGCACTGCAGGCAGCTGGCATAGGGTTGGCTCACCCTAATCCACTGAGCTGATTTGAAGCTGGTTCTTTGTGAGAGCTGGTCTATTCCCATCTTTCCTCTTGGTTAATATTCTGAGATGTTTTAGGTTACACATACATTAATTCACGGAACAATATTTCCTGCATGCCTGCTATGCTCTGGATGCTGTGCTAGGTGTCGAACCCTCTGTATCCTCCAAGCATTATGAGCAGAGTGCACGGTCTCTGAGAAGGGGTTCCCAGCACCAGGGTGGGTATTTTTACCTGGCTTCCTCATTTCTCAGGGTTTTTCATTCTAACTCAGAATGTTCCTTTTAAATGTATAACTCATCCTATATCCTACTGCCCGATGAATCTCTCTGAAGCATCTCCCTCCTTCCATTACTCATTCACTCAAAAACTTTATTTTCTAATGACTAAAACTCTTTTGTCCAGCTTGGAGTATCCAAGGGACACTACTTTATCTTCTCCTTTTGGCCTTATCAATACTTCCAATGTCCTCAACGTGAGTGAACAAAAAATGCAAAGAAAGAGAAAAATGGGAATCTGTTGAAATAATTTTTTTGCAACTCTAAAAAAAAGGATGTTCTTATAATTGTTGGAAAGTATAAGAAAAAGTTTTCTAAAATGGAACAATTGTGACTGTGAACTAAATGATGCTTTGGCATTTTCTCCAATTTAAAAATATCCTGCACTTATGTAGGTCTTAGATTTAAATTGGCAAGACATTTTATTTTTAGCCTCTTAACATCTTCCAAAAGATAAAGTATTTACATTTTAATTTTATAAATTTGGCAGAGGATGATCAAAAGATAAATATCTTCTTCCAAATGATCCAGGTAATAAAACCATCCATCTCTCTGGTCTTTGGTTTATTTTTCTAATTGTGTCAATTCAGCATCTATTCATTGATTACTACTATCAATCATCGCTGTCAACAGATATTTCCTAATTACTCAGGTACTGGGTATACAATAATAAGACACCATTTGTGAAGCTTCTATTCCAGTGGATGAGCAGAAATTAATAAATCACAATATTCAAATTTGATGATGACATACAACACAGAAAGAAACATGTACACAAGTTTTAGAAATACCTGGTGCTATGATTTGAGTATCATCCAAAGGTCCATGTGTTAAAGGCTTGATCACCAGCCAGTGTTGCTCTTTGGAGGTTCTGGAACCTTTAAGAGAGAGGGCCTAGGTGAGAGGAAGTTCACTGGGGCATGTCATTGAAGGGGATTTTGGAACCTTGGTCTCTTTCTCTCTCTGTTTGCTTCCCAGTTTTCATAAAGGAAACAGATTTCTTCTGTCACCTGTTTCCACCAAGTTGTACATAAGTCCAAACGCAATGGACCAACTGACTGTGGACCGAAAGCTTCAAAGTTGTGAGCCAAAATCAACTTTTTATCTTTTTAAGCTGATTATCTCAAGTATTTTGTGACAGTAATAGAAAGCTGACTAACCACATGGTGTATCCTAGGGGTTCAGGAAAAACTTACCTGAGAAGTAATTGTGCTAGACATCAAGTAGATGAGAAACGACATGAATTCCCAGGCAGAGGGTACATTGTGCATGAGGCCCTGAGGCAGGAATGAACTCTGCATCTCTGAGAAGAGGAGACCTTAGGCAGGTCCCTTAACATTTCTAAGCCTCAATTTTCTTAAATTTTTTTAATGTGCTAAAACTCTAACCCTGACTCCTCCCCAAGTTGTCATTCGATGCCAATTTGATATATTCATTCAGATCTCTAATAAGCCTATTCAACTCATTTCCAAAACAGAATTGTGGATTCCTGCAGCTCCATTCTCTGGATTTCCCCCCCTTATTTCTTTTCCCCCATTTCAGTAAATACCTCCATCACCCACCCAACTGCTCAGCTCCAATCCCCAGAAGTCATACTTCTACAACTTCCCTCTGTACTTCATGTGTCATTTCCCCCCTCATTTCCCACACAAAGAAAGTCTTGTTGGCTCTGATGCCAAACCAGACCCCAAATCCTACCACTTTTGAACATCTCCCCTGTTATCCCTGCACCTGAGGACGACATTTTCTCACCTGGATGAGTGCCACAGCCTTCCAGCTACTCCCCTATGTCTATTCTTATTCTCCTATGATCCATTACCCATGTAGCAGCCAGAATGTTCCTTTTAAATGTATATTTTCTTGCCATCTCTCTACTGCAAATACTACTACAGCTTCCCTCTGCACTTCAAATGAAATCCAAACTGCAAGTCCTCAGATGAGCAAGTCCTTGGCTGTCTCTCTGAGACCTTCTTGTACCTCTTTGCTCTCAATGCTCCGCCATGTTGGTCTTCTGTTTGTTTCTCAGCTATGGCTGATCATCAGGTTGTTCTCATGAATTATTCTTCAACTAAAAAAATCACATTCCCAGAGAAGGCTTCTCTGGCCTTCTATCTAAAGGGGTGTCTCTCTAGAGTCACTATCTGGACTAGAGAGTAACTATCTAGTCATGGTGATAACTTATTTTAGTTTCTCAATAACAAACCCCATTCCCTGAAATTATATCAAAGTTACTTATGTCTTGCTAACCTCACCCCAACTTCCAAGTATAAATTCCAAGGGAGCAGGACCATGTCAGCCCCATCCTCCTCCCTTAGCAGAGTCTGGTACAGGGTGGGAGGGCAGTGCAAATACGTGCTGGCAGAATTAACCAACATGTGGATGAAACCAGGTCACAGGAGCCCATTCAATCCAAGAGCCAACATCTATTTGCCTAGACTGTGCATTCTGTTTTCATAAGATCAGCATTTCATCAGCATGATTGATTTCAGTTTTTTAAGGCCCAAACCTGTTGGCTTTTGTACAACCCAGGGCCTATTCTCAACATCACAAGCTGTGTCAGTAAACTCACCAGAGTTTGGATATTTCACCCTGATATGAGTTGTATAACAATGGGCAGCTCATTCCCCTGATTCAGGTCTCTTCCTTCCTTTCTTCCTTCCTTCCTTCCTTCCTTCCTTCCTTCCTTCCTTCCTTCCTTCCTTCCTTCCTTCCTTCCTTCTTTCCTTCCCTCCTTCCTTCCTTCCTTCCTT